TGGGGCTCACTCTAGTGTTATTTAGCTCTATGTGCCCAGCACACATTCAAATTTCTGACTGAATATGAAGGATCTTTGTTTAAAACTTTGTCGTTTAAAGCAGTGGGTGATTCCTTCAGGGAATTCCAACATTTATTTGTTTATTAGACTTTTTAGTATTCTTTTATCTTTAGAAATTTGATGAGACATATCTCCTCTCCTCTATGTAAAAACTATTTCAAAGTACCTTTTCAAAGATTTGTCACTCAAGATGAGGATGGAAAATACCTTCAAAAGCATGCCATTATCAGCTTCAATTTTTTTGGACCTCTCCTGTTTGCTGCCCTTTTCCACTTCCTTTCTTTTTTGCATTTTATATTTCCAGACAGCGTGAGCACACATGAAGACGAATCACTGGCCTTTACAACCTGACAGATTTCAGGGAAGTGCGAAGGTGGGGGAAAAAAAGAGTTGTGTACCTGTAGACCTCTAAAGTTCAGCCGAGGCGAGGCGCTGCTGTGATCAAAGGACGCCTCAATTAGTTCTGAGATGCGGCGGTGCCATGCGGTGAACCCCACTGATCACTTTCTTTTTATTATTTCTTATTTGAATTATCTTGACTCATTAAACATTCACAATCTGCTAAACTAAACATCTGTACCAAAACACATTATTTTCTGGCTTCTTCCATCATTAGAGCCTCAGCACGTCCGCATTTGAAGTACATTGGATGACAATAAGATTTCAAAAAGCATCAAAGCTCCGTGAATGTCTAAAAGCAAATTCTCTTTTTATGAAGACAAATCTTTTTATCTTTTCCTGTGCGGTGCATGCCTCACAATGGTAAACAACCAGAGAGTCCAGTCTGCTAATGAGTAGAAGCTCCATTTTGTGTCACTCTGTTAATTATAATTAGAGGTTCTGTAATTACTCGGCTGAAAGAATGGCAGCCTGCGTAAGGCCATCTGAATTGTACCTGGGAGAAAATTAAAAACCAATCACTCTGACTTCCTTGCTCGCTCTTCTCCGTCTGGCTTGTGGGCATTAATCTGGACAGCGGCGCGTACGGTAAACCTGAGCTGACAAGCCTGACTAAAGATCTCAAGGCTGGGATGTTTAAAGCACTCAGATGAGCTGATGGTGGAAAATTGAGTTTTACAGCAAGCCCGGGTGTTTGTCAAACCCTTTTAAACAATGGAAGAGTTTACCCACTTAAGCACTGTCTTCAAATTAAAAGATGTAAGTTAAATAAGTTGTGTGGGACTTTTAAGACAATCCAGATCCTGTTTAACTGGCTGATTTATTAAAAAAATGGAAAGTTTAAAACATATAGTTGATTTTTTTTATTATTTTAGCAAAATATCACATTCCCAAATGGATATTTTCCTGCTCAGCTTCTTTTAGATTCTGCTGGTGTTGTGCCACAAAAAGTGTCCCTGTCATGAAAGGCACTCTGGCTGCAGAAAGGGTTTAGTCTCATGTGTAACAACACTGTCAGACTCAAGGCCCTCGGGCCAAATGTAGCCCACTACAGCATTTGATGTGGCCTGCGAGAGCTTCAGTGATGTATTAATGTCTTAAAATAAGCATATGCTGCTTTAAAGCTGCATTTTTGTCAGCTACTTTTGCTACAGACCAATTGTACTGGGAAGTGGAAATTTACCACTTACAAGTCATTTTTTTAGACTGGAATGACCCTCCAGTGGGAATTCCCTGTTGGAAAGTGGGAGAGTTCGGGATTCAAGATGGCAGCTACTCACCACAACTCAGCAATCAGTAAAACTCTTACCTTTACTTTTAATAGTAGTTCTGTATATTTACAGTATTTTACATTTAATCAGTCATACACTTTGTACTTTATAGTCTTTATAAAAGAACATGTTAATAACGCTGTTTCTATGAAGGAAATACCAGGTAGAGCCCAGTTATTGTTTTTTAGCGGTGCTCAGACCTAGCAATGAGACAAGGAACGTGATGTTTTAGTCAAAGTTAAATACAAAACATGGAAATGAATTACAACCAACCCCTTGAGGGCCACAATAATGATCATGTGACCCTTGGTGAAAATGAGTTTGACACCCCTGGTTTAAAAATATGATCTGAAAACATCTGCCTAATAATTCCACCAATTTGATTGGTCTACCTCTAACAACAACCACTTTTCAGAAACCATTAATGTTTACTTCAGTTTAAAGTAACAGTATTCAGTAACCCGTATGTTGGTCACTTTTGCATATTTTCCTCTGTTTCTTTCAAGTATGCTTTTTAAAGTGGATGAGGAATGCATGGTTTTAACGGTATCTGCAGTTCATGTGAGATTAGACAAATTAAAGTCCTGGTATGGTCAGGGTTTTCACACATCACACCATTATGCAAGAAAAATCCAAGTAGGAATTTAAAAACGTAACGGTAAATTTTCTTGAAGAATCAGTGTTACATCTGAAAGAGTTCAAAACATTTTTTCATTTTTTTAATTAACCTGGGTGCAAAATTTTAGTTGCCACTAAGATAAGTGAGACAACACCTCTAATTATTCTGAAAGGCTCCACTTTTCAAAAGGAGCATTGTTTTGCTATAAATCTTCAAAATACACAAACTGTGTTGTGTTCAACAAAGTTTAAAATAAGATATAAAGTAAAATCAGTTAATCAGTCAGGAGAAACTTCAGCTTTTTGTTTTTAACTACACACAGTTCTGCAGCTAATCAACACTGGTCAACGACTGAGTAGAAAAGATAAAGCAGTGCTGGAATTTATTTAATAAATAATACAATCTGTTGGATTTCTCTGAACAGCTGATCAAATGTCAAATGAATCCAGAACTGCTGTGTGAGTCTGTCCTTTAATGTAACTGCAGCTCAGACAGGTGCTGTGTTGAAAGGGAAACAGAGATGTTTGAGGTCCCATCGAATCAGATCGCCTTTGCAAAATGTCACGCACCTGATCTTTCAAACTGGTCACCGGCAGCTTTTTGCTGCTGTCTGCTAAATGAAAAGATGTGAACACGAAGAGTGTTATTCTAAGTTTTCATTAGCGTCTTCATGAAAATCCTATCCCATTAAAGGCTTAGAACGAATCTAAAATCATACGTTCATCTCACATCCACCTCCTAACGATTTCATTTTAGAATCCTGAAACCTGCTCTGAATATCTAATGTTGGTTTTATTTAGCAGGCCGTCGCAGTCACACACCTGCTCCAGCCAAATGCTTTAATTTAGGTCTCAAAGTCTAAAACTGAAAGCCTTGTGCTCCTTCCTACCAGCGCTATTCAAGAATGCTAAGTCAGCGTGAAAACTATTCTTATACGTTTTACTTCTATTTTATTTTACATGTTCAAATAGCAGCTAAATCTTCCAGTGTAAAATATATTTTTTGAATATGTTTAACTTTAGCTAAACTTAGCCATTGTTTAGCTACTGTTCTGCTACTTTTAGCTACTATTTGTTTGTAATTGTCGTTAGCTATCACTGTAATCCTTAAATTACCTTTAGCTACTATTTTTTATAACCGTTCTGCTACTCTTAGCTACTGTTATCCAACATTTAGCTACTGATCTGCTACTTTTAGGTACTATTTGTTTTTAATTGCTGTTAAATTACCTTTAGCTACTATTTTTTATAACCGTTCTGCTACTCTTAGCTACTGTTATCTAACATTTAGCTACTGATCTGCTACTTTTAGGCACTATTTGTTTTTAATTGCTGTTAAATTACCTTTAGCTACTATTTTGTCATGGTTCAGCTACGCCTAGCTACTGTTTTGCTGCTTTTAACTGTCAGCTTCCATTTTGGATCAGGGTTCTCAAGCCATTTGGGTCTAGGGACCCCTTACAAGGGTGAGAAAAATTCCAGGGACCCCCTCATAAACCCTGTGCTGTTTAAAAATATAATTTATTGTCATTTCAACCCCTAAATTCTATGGGAATATCTATGTTATGAAGTTTATTATGTTTGTTTTATTAATTCATTGTTCTCCATGCATTTTTAAAAACAAAAATCAAATTAACATTTTAGTAAAAATATTTGAGGAACCCCAAGATACCTCTCACGGACCTCTGGGGGTCCAGGGACCCCAGTTTGAGAACCTCTTATTTAGCATTTAACTACCGCTCTGCTCATTCTCATATTAAGCTACAGTTAAGCTAAATTTAGCTACTGTTTAAATAATTGTAGTTTAAGTTTTTATTGTTTTTTTATGTTTTGCTTATCACTAATTTTAGCTTCTAGCTACTTTTGGGCTGCTTTCAGCGTGTGTTCTGTTCATTATACGTTGTGTTTAGCTTATTTTAACCTCTTGCTTTGTATAGTTTGTTTCTAACAACTCAGTTTTAGCTTCTTCAGCAAATTTTAGCAAAGCACACACTGCATTTTCTTTAGTTTACATATGAGAAACTTTGCACCAGTAGGACAAGACTGTTTTTTTTTCTTTAATTAAGGTAAGCTAATAAAAACAAAACAAAAAGTGACTATGGAGAGGCTAGAGGAAGAAAACAAAGCCTGATAAACTCCTGCCAGATGGGCACGGTGGCATTTATGAGCCAAAATGATGACTTTTGTGCAATAACTTGGCATTTAAACAGAACAGCTGTACTGCTTCCCTAATAATGACTAATACATGCTGCACTGAGCGGGCGAAATTCCCTCAATCCCCCGGAAGCCTGTGGCTCAGGGTGGGCAGTCTGGTACATAAAAGACATGTAAAGGGAAGAGATCCTGAAGCTAGCCTTGGCTGCACCGGGCTTTGTTCTCATCTTCAAAGGCGAGCCGTTTTCTTCTTGTTTTTTTATTTTTTTTTCCACAGGATCAAAATCCACAAACAAATAAAGCTCAGATGTGTACAGTAAGGCGCCGAATTCCCTGGCAACTTTCTTTCACGGTGGGGTATTGATAAAAGCGAGCTCTTTGATATTTTCTTCTTGTCGATGGTAGTTCAGTGTGTTTTGTTGTGCTGCTTTGTTGTGTCCCCCCGCCCTTCCTTTTCGCTGTGCTGGATTGCGCGTGTCCTCATTGTGAAAGTCATACCTGACGGGTGCTCCTCGGCTCTGGGCGGGCTTAAGGAGAACTGTGACGGTGCTCTCCGTCTGGTTCAGAGAGGTCTCCTGGTCATAGGCTGGCATGGAGGGAGCTAAGGATAAAAATACACGCAGAACAAAATTAAAGTGGGGAGTTCTGTTCTGTTTAAGAGTTTACAACAGTTTGTACCTCATGACCTGATATCAGTAACAGAGCATGAAGGACGGAGAAAAGGGCACACATCTTTGTCCAGTTGAGGTTAACAGCTAACCAAACAAGAACCCTTTTTATTGTTTTTTAAAGGAACTTACTACTGATAACTATTAGACTTTAAAAATGACCAAACTATCCCTTTAACAACACAATACTACGTCTTACAGGACATTTGTTTAGTTATAATTCTGTAAAAAAGTTTCCAACCAACCCATTCTTAATTTATTTATACCTCTCTTCCAAGAAGCCAAACTTTTCCGTGTTTTTGATCAATAGTTTTTCAGACTTTCTGAAGGTCTTTCTTTCAAGTTCATCTTTGATCCTTTTTTTTTTTGTATTTTTTTTATGACCAACACAAGAATTTCTCAAAAACTTGCGAAAAGTAAGTAAACAGGATAGATGCTAAAAAGACTGCTTTGGTTTGTTTAAATGTATGAACCTTCTGGAACCATTCCTGTGACCCCGCTGACCTGAGATCTTGGTGGTGAACTGGGTTATGACAGGGGGGCCGTAGCCCTTGGCTGTGCTGGCACGCAGGGTGAAGGAGTACGTGGAGCCTGGGTAGAGGCCTGTGAACATGTGGGTGGTCTCGTTGCCCAGCTTCACTGCCTTCCCACTCTGGTTGGAGAGGTCCAGCTCGGGGTCAAAGGAGCTCACCGCCTTGTAGGAGATCTAGCAGAAACAGAAAAAAAAAAGGATATTCTCCTGTTGGCCTCTTTGGAACTCGGGTTCAATTCTCTTCTGCGAGACGACGATTTGTATTCATGAAGCCAAATCGTCTCGTGTTTGGAAGGTTCGAGCAGCTCAAAATGATAAAGCGTTTACTGGATTTATTGTGTCGGGGTTTTGAATTCCTTTCATGGTTTTGTTATCACATACTTCCAGTCTCTCAACCCTTTGTATAATTCTTTTAGGCTTAAATGCCACAAGGAAATGATAAAAGTCTTATACTGTGCTTCTTTACTTGTGTGGTCCTGAGTCAACATCCAGTTTAGATACACCTTTATACATATTTATAGTTATTAAAAAAATGGCTATCACATAAACAGCAGGGAAATTTAAGTTGAATTTAACTGTATGACAGATATTAAGGTCATTATCACCCACCAACAAAAAGCATAAGCAAAACATAATGTGTGTGTGTGTGTGTGTGTGTGTGTGTGTGTGTGTGTGTGTGTGTGTGTGTGTGTGTGTGTG